AAATGATTCAAATTAATATTTAAAAAGTAAATATTATCATTTTATTTTTAAGTTTACTATAAAATATTTGTATTTTTATTTAATACTCCCTTTTTAATAATATAACAGTATTATCACACTTTATTATTTTGTTTATTATTTTATTAAAAAATGAAGTGCACTAATATTATTATCACTATTATTATTTTTTAAAGTTATATTTATTGGCTCATACTATGTGCAGTGTGAGGACCAAACCAAATCTCCAGGTGCGCTTTTGAGAACCAGGCTGAAAAACTTATGTGCACCCCTGTGTATAAGCATATGATAAACAAACTACAGCTCTCGGCTGAATAAAAGAAGCCAGTGTCACACTAGTAGCCTAAAGTTTTGATGGACGACGATTGTAATCAAGGTAAAGATGATTACAGTGACATACAGGATCGTGCATTAGGCACGCATTGTGTCCGTTATAATTGATGCGCAAACAAACCGTGTATGTGATCACTGATCACTATAACATCATATTTCTGCTTGAACACAGCTCAGTATATTCACTTGGGTGAATACAGCAAGTGTTTTATAACGGATTCTCGCGTGTTTTGGAGAAGTTTGTGAGAATCAGTGGTGTTTACATATGGGCATCAGACGCTCCAAACTTGTTCTTGTTCTGACAGAGAAACTCACGGTGGCGTCGAGCCGCCTTCAGATCGCTGAGTTCAGAATGGTTTCATTTTTCATTTGTATTTTGGTGTGTTTAGTGATTCTGAATGGACCTGAATAATATAGTAGTAAGGGTTTGCCCTCCAGAGTGAGAGCTTTGAAGAGATGAAGGGTGCAGGGGACCAAAAAATGTTCCATGGAATGCACTTCTGTGTCATCTTTCCAAGCCAGTTCAGCAGGGTCCGTCGTCACACAATTAAAGGGTTAGTTCACCCAAAAATGAAAATTCTGTCATTAATTACTCACCATCGTTCCAAATTTCATCATCTTCGGAACACAAATTAAGATATTTTTGATGAAATCCGAGAAGGGCTTATAGGCCTAAATGTTAAAATTACTGTATAATTGAGCTTTACATAATTTTAAGTTGTGTAGAATATCTGCAGTGACATTTTTGCAAAGTATGTTTGCAAAAAAGAACATGGAATGTTTAAATCTATCTTGAATTTGTTTTGTTTAAAAAAATTACATGTAATTGAAAAGTAATAACAAATACAAAAGTTTTAGTGAATAGAAAAGTTTAGGCTTGCAGTATTGATTTGGAGAGGAGGGGGTCTTGGAGTAAAAAAGGTTGAGAACCACTGCTTTAGGTAAATGCAGGCACAGTTCTACGGGGGTACTAAGAATTGAACAATATTATTATTATTATAATTTTAATTACAATTTAAATTAATGCAATATAAAGATACATCCCAACAAGCTTTTTTATTTATTTATTTTATATGTATTTTATTATTTATTTATTTTTCACTTGGTAGATCTCGGTGAGTTTCTCATTTGAAAATTCACATTTGAAGACCCCTGCCCTAATCACTTCGAAGGGTTTGCCCTCCAGAGTGAGAGCTTTGAAGAGATGAAGGGTGCAGGGGACCAAAAAATGTTCCATGGAATGCACTTCTGTGTCATCTTTCCAAGCCAGTTCAGCAGGGTCCGTCGTCACACAATTAAAGGGTTAGTTCACCCAAAAATGAAAATTCTGTCATTAATTACTCACCATCGTTCCAAATTTCATCATCTTCGGAACACAAATTAAGATATTTTTGATGAAATCCGAGAGCTTTCTGACCCTGCATAGACAGCAATGCAACTCACACGTTCAAGGCCCAGAAAAGTAGTAAGGACATCAATAGTCCATGTGACATCAGTGGTGAAAACAAAAATAATGACTTTATTCAACAATTCTTCTCTTCTGTGTCAGTCAACGCGCGTTCACAAGAGTAACATAACGCATACGTGTGGTGCTGCTAATGCAGGAGCCAGCATTCTGACGTAGAACCCAGATGCGCTGCACCTTGTTTACGAGCAGAGGAGCGCACACGCATGCGTAGTGGTACTGTTGTGAACACGCGAAGTCTGACACAGAAGAGAAGAAATTGTTGAAAAAAGTCGTTTTTTTGTTTTCTTTGCATTCAAAATGTATTCTCATAGCTTCATAAAATTATGGTTGAACCACTGATGTCACATAGACTATTTTAATGATGTCCTTACTACCTTTCTGGGCCTTGAACATGGTAGTTGTGTTGCTGTCTATGGAGGGTCAGAAAGCTCTCGGATTTCATCAAAAATATCTTAATTTGTGTTTTGAAGATGAATGAAGGTCTTAAGTGTTTGGAATGACATGAGGGTGAGTAATTAATGACAGAATTTTCATTATTGGGTGAACTTTCCCTTAAAACCTGCGCAAAGAATGTCCATCATCTAAGCTTCCATCAGACATACCCTTCAAAATCATTAGTTCTGAAGGGCCCTTTGAAGTGGCCAGTTTTGAGTACTGCAGTTTGGAACAACCTTTCAATATGGCAGCCATGATTTATCCCGTTTATAACGCAAGGACACTCTCTTTTTTCATACGCAATTAGCATCATCTTGTGACTCAGAATGTAGAGAAAATGACTCATTTGCTGTATCCCAGTATGCCAACTTATACTATGCCCTAAAAGTATACATACTTTGGAATGTGTAGCATTGTGTCACTGCCCTGTCAATCATGACCAAACGTATCATTGTGAAACTTCACAGTGTTGTTATAGATGAAATATAATGCAGATAGCATTAAATATTTTTGTCATTATGATTATTTTTATTATGTAAAATAAACTTACTTACTTACTACTTACATCACCATGTTTGTAGTTTTTTATTTATTTTATTTTATTTTTTTGTTTGTAGTTCCCATTAATTCATTCAATGGAACGATTACAACGATTTGGGACACACTAATTCTAATTTAAAATATTATTTACGGCAAATAGTATGCTGATGCAGCACATTACTGTAATATTGGCTGAATTCAAAATATCATACTATGCTACTCTTACTATTTCTGCTACTTATTCAAAATAAAACATTAGTTAAGGTTTCAAAGCTTCATGAAGCATTGTTTTGAAAGTACCCATCACTAGGTGCAGTGTTTGTCTTTTTGCTAGGCCTTGTTGTCTTGTACATTTTAATGGACTCAAGATAATATACAGGTGAAATTATAACTCAAATCATTATTTTATGTCCAGTTGTACAGGAGTCTTTGCATGAATTGCAAGCTGAGGGCCACATATTTGTCTATACCTTTATGGCAACATCTGTTGTTTAGCATGAAGGAATCCAAATAGAGGGCAAGTGAGAAGCCACAAGCTATGACTGATGCTTTAAAATGTGCAAATGTCATAGATTCCCAGGACACAGGGCACATTGGTCTCATTATGTCAGTAGCCTGGAGCATGCTAGAGAGAGTCAGCAAATGTGGAGGGCTGATAACTCAGAATGGCTACATGAACAATGAGTGAAACCCACAAACCTATGGCTCCTTTCTGACCCTTTTTGGACATCTGGGGACTCTCAGTGGGCATAAAGATCTCCAAGCACTTCAAGCAGATGTATATTTGCAGCTTTGAAGGTTGTTTTATTGATTTATTGCAATTTAGTAACAATTTAGGATGGTTTCACTTCTCCCACCAACTATTGTGGAAGCTTTGATCTGTTGTCATATCAGTTCTATTATTCAAAAGAGCAATCAAAACAGAGATAATTAATCATTTACTTTGCAGGGGGAGCAACAGAAGCTGATAAATCAAGCTGAAAAATCCAGAAAACTGTTCCAAAAACCACCCTGACAACCTTAAGCTGGTAGCTGGTTTGTTGCTGGTCAAAAATGGTTTACCAGTTAATGCTTAGATAGAACATACCATATTCTTAACTATATTACGAGGTGCCGATTTGAATATGTACAATGTGAATCATACAAAAATATATGCTTTTTAGAGGTCCAACCCCTAAACTGTCAATGGGGTGTACCAATCTGCCAAAATGTAAAATAGTTAATGTTGGGAATTTTCAGCAGGGAAATAGAAGCAGTTCAGTGTTTTACAGCTAAAGGTTGTGTTATTCAGCTCACGCAGATATTCAAAGTAATTTACTGATCGTAGATTAAGATTACACATGATGATGTGTGGTGAATGATCAATTTAACCTTTGAGATATACAGTTTAAGTTGCCAATGCTTCAGAAGTTTTATAGAACAGAGATTTTCTGAGGTTTGGAGATCCTCAGGGATGCACAAAGGGGGTTTGTGGAAAATTTGGAGAAAAATTTTTTTTTACTGTAATTTAATTTAAATGTCACTTTCTTGTTAAGATTAATCACCATAATTTTTAAAAAAAAATTTTTTAATATAACTAAAATTATATTTTATTTCATAATTACATTTTAACTTGATTTTTAAACTATATTTTAGGCTATAAAAAAAAAATAAAATGCTATCTCTCCTTCCTCCAAATGTGCATTCTTTCAAGAACAGTTTTAATTTGGTGTATTGTTCTTGCTTCTGAAGAATATTTAGCCTACTGTGAAAAGCGCTATACAGGTACATTTAAAGTATAGAAATTAAAAGGTTTCTCTTCTGGTTCATACCGGCTACATAGTATAGCCTACTAATAGGATACACTGTCAATTTAAGTATAGTTTTTAGGAGATTAATAATTTTTGTTTTTAGTATAATGAAAATATAAAAGCTAATTATTTAATTTGATTAAAAAAAAAAAAGCATGTTGTCTTTTTACAATATTATACAGTTTTTCACACAGTACTAATGTAGGCTATTTTATCCATGACAATATACTGCTTCAAGAAAGCCTCTCTCAAGGGACCATATTAAAAAAGTTAGAAAAGCCCTTTTGTAGACATTATAACAGAATGCAAGTGTGAGTGTGTGCTAGCATGTGTAAGTAAGTCCGTCCTCTATCAAGGTGCCCTCGCTCGCTCTGTATTTCAATGCCCTCCAGTCAGGTTTTCACCGATGACTGGCGCGAACCCCGGAAGAAAGAATGACGAATATGAGCAATCAGTTCACAGCGTCTGACAAATCCGCTCCTGTTCAGACCCTGGCGGACTCATCTTCCTCCGCGCTCTGTTTCTGTCTCGCCTAACTAAAACATTGGAGTGACTTTTAGAAAAATGAATGTATTTCACCGGCAAAGACTCCGTAAAAACACGGTTGTCTTGGTGCTCGTGTTGAGCGCCGCTCGCTGCTGTCAAGCGTTCAACTTGGATGTGAGGTCTCCAGTCGTCAAAGAGGGAAAAACAGCTGGCAGTTTGTTTGGACTTTCTGTTGCACTACACGAGCAGGTCGTAGGAGAGAAAAGACACCTGTAAGTATATTTCAAATGTATTATTATTACCTGACCCCAGGTGAAATCATGAGAAGGACAAGATCTTCTCACGTTAGTGCACCTGTTGAGCGTTTTACCTCTGCATTAACGATGTTTTATAATGCAGTTACTTTTTTACAGGCTACTTTTTATATGGGTCAATGACGCCTATTTCTTGTCCTTTTTTTGTGCAAGAATACATCACAAATGCAATTCATATTACCTGAATGCATGGTTTTCTATGATGAGCACGTTTTCATTTTTTGAACTGAAAGTCATTTTGATGGTTTTTATAAGTTTAAAGTGTAAAAAAAAAAAGAAAAAGAAAAATAAGGTGGTGTAATTGTTCAGAGCTTTTTAAGCAATTAAATAAAATAAAACAGATTATCCAAGAATTTCAGTTTATTTGTTCATTAATTATTATTATTATTATTATAAACAAAGCATACTTTAAAACAATCTATTGTTCACCAAATCCAAGTCAGTTGTAACCATCATGCAGGATGCCATTTTGTTGTCATGTGACCAGAAAAGCTTCCAAAGTACACCTTTAAACCGTCATCATGACTTGTGTCAAGGTTTTCTTTAAAATATGAGATATTTGAACCTTTTTAAATTAAATTTCACAGTAGGCGATTGGAGAAAATCTAAGAAAATTAATATTCATGACTCAAAAATCATAATATTTGTAAAAAATAAAATGTTATGTTTTATATAAATATGTTGTGAATAATTAAAGTGTGCAAGAAAAGTATTTTAAAGTTATTAAATTAGATTTTTTTTTTTAGAAACTCTTGTAGAAACTTGTGTGACCTAAAATGCACATCGTGGTAGCATCTAAAACAACTAATATTACTTAGTAATGAATTAACCTGACTTTATTAGGCCACACAATAATGGCAGTAATATTATTACTACTACGGTGTAAGCTGCACACCTTTTTTTTTTCTCTCTTTCTTGTGACTTTGTGATATGAAGATATGAATTTGTGATATGAATTTGTCATTGTTCATGTCTTTTGGTTGAAATTTTTGAAATGCTATCATCATTTTCTTGTTTCCATTTCACAAGAGGATATGAGACAGTGATAAGGCCGCCCGTTACTGTGACTTAGGGCTGGGCAGGTCATGCACCCGCTTGTCTAATGTTTTATAACCATTATGGTTGCTACAACAAATGTCGCCGCCTTTCTTCTCAAATACTGTTGCTCAAATTTTTATTTTTGAACTCATATTGTGAGATTTAATACCAAAAGTGATTAATAAAAGTCCTAATGGGTACAGCTGGCCAAAGAGTCAGGAACAATAGCTGTGAAATGGGCATAGAAACTGAATAAACAAAGCACAATAACTAGTGTTGCTTAAGGCCTTCTGAGCTGTACACATTGACCACTTACCCCCTGCCGCAGTGAAATATCTCTATAAACCAACTGATCATTAACAATAGTCTGTAAGTTCCTCTTGAGACCCATTTGCTCCTGACTGAAGCAATAGATTTTGCTTTGTAGTTCACTTATTTATGATTCTCACTAAATGAATTGGAGCTTATGAGTGCCGTGAGACCTGTATCACCAGCCTCATAAGGCAAAAACTAGTACAGAGTAAGTCACTAGTATGCAAGAAGACTGAGCTCAACAACTATATCATATTATCTGCCGAACACCTATATATTCATTTTATAGTGGGACATAAAATCTTTTTCATAGATTCCTCAGTGGGAGCAGTAGAAAAAACACCAGCTTTGCAGAAAATCGTGAGTTTGCACGATAGCGCAGGTAGATACCGGTTTGCACACAATGCTTTTTTTCATCTCCCCAGGAAATTAGAATTCCACAGATTTCACAATGAAAGCCAGCCACGTAACTGCATTGACTCACGCAGGCTGTTTTCTTCGATTACGGATGGATATAATGCCCTTCACAACATACAGCCCAACTTTAATTGAGAAATAGCATTTGAGCATATAACCAATGAATATGACGATAACAGCGCTTTCTGAGTGCTCAAAATACTTGGTGCTTTGTGGCTTTTATTTAAAACTGAGGTACAGCTGAAGCATGTTAATTGTTCACAACTATACGGTGCCATAATAGAACACCCTGACTTTTCAGTGCAGTTGTCAGCATATGATGGACCCACAAGGTAGCATTTAAAAACCACAACACATTACAGCCTTATATATACTGTATATGTGTGTAAAGGCCTAAAGCTATATACACAATGAAATCTGTCTATGACATGTTTCATGTGTCATTTCTGCAAGCACAATGGAGAAAATGAAATTGTATTTGATTTGATTTGATAATACTTTGATTTGACTGTATTGGATACACTGCAGACATAGAATGAATGAAGTATACATAAAGCAGACTAAATGAATCATAAGACATGTCTGTTCATTGTTAACAGATGTAGGAAACTATACCACAAGAGAGCAGTGGTGTCTGGTCTTGCCCATTTCTCTTTGTGGTCTGTGAATGCTATGCTCTGTAAAACAGTGTGGTGTAAATGTTTGCTGTTTGTCATATTAAATGCAACTAAGTTCAAACAAAGAAAAAACAGATTCAGTGTTTGCGTCTGCCCTTGTCATTGTCCTAGAGGAGTCGTCCCAAGCTAATGTGAGGCTGTCTGTGTTGCTAAATACATTTTCTGGTGACTTCCTGATTGAACCTCAGAGGAAGGGCACTGCAGTTGTCTGCTTCCCTGCATCTTTGTGTTTGTTGGCGATTTAAAAAAATATGAAGAAAACTCCTAAGTTGTTTAGGAAGCTGCTATGTTTTTGTACTAAGGGTTTTAATTTGTAATTTACATTTGTTTTGTGCTTTTCATTTTGAGAAAAAATTTCCCTGCTCCTGATTTATGTTTTATGTATGCATAAACCGTTCAGAGGTCCTCCTGATCTTATCTGCGCCGACAATTTGAGAAATGAGATCAGTCACGATGATATTAATTGGACTGGCTAGACATTCATCATCTTGTCGAAGCCATAAAGGACTGGCTCAGTGGCACACAAAGATGTCCTGTGTTTCTGTGACTTGATCTTTGGTCATTTGTCTCACACACTCTCATAGACTAATAACCTGTTTCCTTCCTGTGATGGAGTTAGCTAGAGCTGCAGAAGTGGTTCTTTACTGCTGCTGACGTGCTGAAGGTTCTTAGATCCTCATGACCACAGACAACTTCTCATCATGCTTAAATTCTCTGCAAAGTCGCAAGATGAAATTCTCACGACTGAGATCCAGTTACATGCTGAACAACTGTAGCAAATGTTTAAAGGGGTCATATGATGCGATTTCAAGTTTTCCTTTCTTCGTCCCATGTGTTTGCCGCAAGCCCTCCACCGTGGACAAAGCGGAGTCCAGCGTCGTCACATGTGGTTGCCGCAAGCCCTCCGGACGCTCCTTCCTCGAATCTGCCGGCCGCGCCGTTCTCAAGCCCGCCGCCTCTGCTCACTCTAGCCCTCCGGCCGTTCCTCACTCTTGCCCCCGGCCTCTGCTCACTCTAGGCTGCCGCCGCTCACTCTAGGCCGCCGTGTGAAGCTGTGTTTCATTGTGAAAGCGAAACTACTTTGTTTGGCCTTCCAAAAGAGGACGATATCTGCTTCGTCATGCCTGGAGCTGATCCGTGCTGGTTGCTGAGGAAATACAACAACTTTGGCATTTTATGGAGGTCTGTTTCCTGATCCTGGTAGAGTAGGCTACAATGCCGGCTGTTCTGACTCACAGACTGTAAGTATGTTTTTTATATTTAAAGAGTTTTTATATTTTATATTTTATATATTTAAAGCACGTTTTTGGGCAGTGTGGAGTAGGGCTTGTTGTTTGTCATTTCTCCGATCACAAATGCAGACATGGTTTTATGTTTACGCGGGGCGACGTGTTTCAGAAAGGCGGGGCATAGAGGAGAAACAATAATGTACAGTATGTGGAAAATAATGTGTTTTTTTAACCTTAAACCGCACAAACACATTTCATTACACCAAATACACAAAATAATGTTCTTTTTAGCAACATCATATGACCCCTTTAAAGCCTACGTGGTGATGATGTGAGAAAATACATAGTCAGTGTGGGTGGTGCACAGTGCCTTTTTTTGTGTTGGGACTTTTATGTTGCTTAGTTTTCTGTTTACTGTGGGTTTTTTTTTTGTAACAGTATCTGCAAAGTAACGATGCTGAAAGTTCAGTGCAAACGGAGATATCGTCTTTTAAAATTATGGCAGTTTAAAGCCTACAAAAATGGCTCGTAGGGACTACAACGAGTTACTTCCCGGGTTTGTGATGTCACAAACCCTAATAAACCCCGCCCTCGGGAACATGCAACAAAGGGTGCAGGGCCATGTTGCGCTGCTTTGAAGAAGAGGAAGAGTTGTTGCCATGCCATTAAAACTAAGGGTGCACGAAAAAATATATTCATATATGAATCGTGATTCTGTCTTCTAACGATTCTACTGGACTCACAAGTTTCAAAATCAATGTTCTAAAATGTTCTTAATCCTTTTCCTCGCGTCCCCTGCTCTGCACACGCTCTGCTCTGCATCTCTCTCTCCCACCTGATCATCAGCTCATCAGCTCCTATAAACTGTGTTCCAATTATACACTTTAAGTGTATAGTGTATATAATCAGGATAAAATGGTATATTCAAAGCTAACATAAGCAGTAGCATTTACAAATAACAGCGTATCTAAAAGTATGAGACAACAACGAACAAAAAACATAGCATTAAGAGCTGTGCACTTGCGCAGGTTATGCGCGATCCTCTTCACTAATATCCTCTGCATCTCAATCGGGCTCAAATTGATAAGCGATATTGACGACACCATTGTTCACAACACACTGGTCTAGCTAACCAATCTGAGCCCATTGTGTAATTCTGAGGGAGGGGCTTCATAAAAAACAGGAAATCAACGGAGCATTCAAAGGAGAAGGAACAGAGCTGTTTAGAATAAAGGTACATTTTGTGAAAAACAATGCGGTTTTTTTTTAAACCAAGCATTAACAC